CGACTGAGCTACCCGGCCACTTCCTTTGGTTTAAGCTAGAACAACTGGATCAAAGATAACTTTTTTGTGAACATCCATCCTATATAGTTCTCCCACTTTATCAAAGCCAAATTTTAGGAAGCAGATCTTATTGAGTCAGTGGGTATTTAGTTGAAAGACAGTAAGTAGATTCAGCCTGTTGGTGGTAGCTAACTGCATAAATATTCATTATTTGAATTTCAAGTTATTTTGATTGGAACTGGAATTAATTAGGAAGTTTGTGCTCTTTGACTGAAATAAGCCTCATTTATCCATCTAGTGCAAATAGTCACTAATAAGGATTCAAAACCAATTTTTCAGCATTGTGCATAAATAAAATTTATTCCACAGTAAAGTCCATGCCAGCAGATTCATGTAAGAGCTGTAGACGATGGTATTATGAAATCTGGATATTATTTATTTACTATGCTGTGTGCTGAAACTGTATGCAAAAAGTCAGATTCTGGGAACACCCAACACTGAGTTTTAAGTAACACTTTCTCCAGGGTTACTAAAGAAGCACCTGGCACTTTAGCACATACATTGATCAGGATAATTTGTTTCTAACAGCACTATCTCTAAACTGTCTCTGATTTATTCTTTATGTTAAGTGCTGCACTACTTTGAAAATTGACTCTTCTGGTTCAAAAGAAGTATTTTGCAATGATAGAATACCAATTTATTTTGGTATCAAATGTTCCTGGTTGACATAGTCTTTTTTTCTGTTTACTGGTTAGTCTTCAGATGCTATCTGATAGTCCAGTTAAGTTTTTCTTGACAAGCATCTGCAATAGTATTGAGTATCAGGTGGGCTAATGCACCCTTCAGTTACACGCGAAGCAACACCCTTCCTTGCAGTTGTATCCTCTCTTATGACATAGTTTTTTTTTCTATTTACTGGTTGTGCAGTCTTCAGATGCTATCTGATAGTCCAGTTAAGTTTTTCTTGACAAGCATCTGCAATAGTATTGAGTATCAGGTGGGCTAATGCACCCTTCAGTTACACGCGAAGCAACACCCTGCCTTGCAGTTGTATCCTCTCTTAGAACTGTGCATCTGTACAGCCTTCCACGAGATACCACTTACAAATGAGCATGTTATTTGAAAAAGAAGAAATTGGTTTTATTTACTTATTTTTTTTAATGTGATGAATGATGGTGCTTAAGCCATAGAAGCAGTCGGGTTGCTCTCCCGGTTAGACATATGCTAGTCATGAACAAATGGCAATAGTAAATGCTGGTATGACTCAAGATGTGCAAAAACTAGAAGCACATCTAACAAGTTTAAAAATGTACTTGAAAAATAAGCTTTTAGGGCATGCACACTTGAAAATCTTTTTTCTTCTTAATAACTATTTTCACTGCAAACTTCATAAGCAAAAATGTTGGTTGTTTCTACTCTCTTCGTGACACAGGAGTCATCTACCAGAAGAGCAGACTTTGTGAAAGCTGACATTGTAATGAAGGAATCTGTAGTGCAGTTATCTTGGTATTTTCATTCCTTTTCTGCAAAACCAATAAACAGCATTTAATGTAGTAAGTTTTACTTCTGTCTTTCCTTGAGTATCCTGACAATTAAAACTGCATTACCCCCCCCTCCATGATAAAGGTCATCAGAACAGAAAAGCGCACAGCAGTCCCTCATTCTTGTAGGCAGTTTCAACAATCTAATTTTGTCAATCTCTTGAGATGCCAATATTGAGAGAACACCAGGGCGACTATTTCCTGAGGCTACTAAAAGCAACTTTGATTCATCTGTATTCCTGTTTGTTCTAGTTCTTGCAAGGTGGGGAGTTCAGAAGCTCAGCTGTTGGATCGCTGGAGTCTGTCATCAAGGCAGTGTGTAAAGAAGAACCTTCATTTTTCAGCAATGCAAACCTCTTCATCGACATGCCCAGAATCGTGGGACTCTTGGAGGACAATATGGCAAAATATGGCATTCCTGAAGACTCAAGTAAGAAAACCTATCAATCACAAGTTGCATGTATGCATTCAGAATTTAGATAAGTTTTTCCATCTTAAAGGGAAATGTTTATATACTGACATCTTAGTTGACACTGTAATGCAAAGCACAAAGGTTGATCAATAAAACTTTTATAGCTACAAGATAATTGTAGATGAGACACAAGTGATTCTGGTTGTTGTCTTCTTTGCAAATAATAAATAAGAATGTTCCTGTCTTAGAGACATATTTATTAGAATTTCTAAAGCACTTGTTATTAAAAATACATCTTTGAGATACAAGACTGAGAATTTACTGCTGCATGCCTTTCTTCTGTGAACACAAATCTGCAGTATTATTGTGCATTAAAATATGCAAGGCCTTTGGATAAAATAAGTTTTTTTAATAGTTGATATTCCTGTTTTCGTTACTATATGCCTGGGAAATCTCTTAGCTCTTATATAGTTTCACTTTGGCTCCATTTCCTCAATATATATTTGACTTACCTTTGTTAATTTTAATATTGTTAATAGCCATGTTAGTGCCTCGTTGGCCCTGTGCAAGAGAAGAATACAGTGACAAATGATTCCTAGGGAAGGATCTGTGACTGTGACTCATAACTCTCAGTTTCTACCACTAGAAGCTGACTCTGGCTTGGCTGGGACCCTTAAGAAAGAGCCAGAGCTCTGCCTTTTTCACTAGCGTGGGTCATAGCAGTAAGCAGGCAGCTCTGCTTTTCTTTACTGTTTGAAGAATGGAGTTAGCAGGATGGCTGGTTAGATGGATATTTGGGACTGTTTAGGCCAGAAGCACCATCTGTTTCTTGATTGTTAATTTTTTTATTATTTTTTAAAATATTGTTACAACTCTGGAGTGTTGTAAGACCTTTTCACAGAATCACAGAATGTTTGAGGTTGGAAGGGACCTCGAAAGATCGTCTACTCCAGTCCCCCTGCCAGAGCAGGATCACCTACAGTAGGTCACACAGGAACACGTCCAGGCGGGTTTTGAATGTCTCCAGAGAAGGAGACTCCACAACCTCCCTGGGCAGCCTGTGCCAGTGCTCTGTCACCCTCACAGGGAAAAAGTTTTTTCTAATATTTTTGTGGAACCTCCTATGTTGCAGCTTGGACCCATTGTCCCTTGTCCTGTCATTGGACATCACTGAAAAGAGCCTGGCACCATCCTCCTGACACTCACCTTGATGTATTTATAAACATTTATGACGTCTCCCCTCACCCTCCTCCAAGCTAAAGAGATCCAGCTCCTTCAGCCTTTCCTCATAAGGGAGATGTTCCACTCCCTTCATCATCTTTGTGGCTCTGCGCTGGACTCTCTCAAGCAGTTCCCTGTCCCTTTTATCTTAGGACTTCGAAGTATCTCTAAAGCATCGGTTAGTTCCAGCATTCCTCTGAGTGAATTAATACTTTCCCATATTTTTCAAGTTGGTAAGTGAGGAAACAGAAAATGAAAATTAAAAAAAGAAAAGTATTTATTTATATGAGGACACAGAAGCTTGATTTGTACTCCTTCACAGTATGTATTTTGTGTACCAGACACTTGCCAAGGGCTTTCTGAAAATTGCAGCAAACTCAGATTAGCAAGTATTTTCTGTTTCTATCACACTGATGTTTCTGACTGGCCAGCCTGGAGCTTGTCATTTTACAATGATTGTGTTAAGTAATGATTTTTACTTTGAAGAAATTAAAAATTTGGGCAAAGGACTGTTTTTAATGACACATTTCTGACACTTGTTTCTTTAATTTTTGTCAGGAAGGTAAATGTTTTTTGGCCTAGTTTTCCATTATTTGCAATAATTTGTCTTCCTTGAGGAGTTAATAACATTATTTAATATTTCCTTACAGCACTGGAAATGTGAGCTTTCTAAATCCCAGAACACATGAGCTGGGCACAAAAATTCAAATGTTTCTCACAGAAAACTCATTGACTTTACTTGCATGAAAGTGCAGTGAGATAACTTGGAAGCTATTCCTCGGATACTAGTTCCGAAGGACATAACGCCCTGATGCATTAGTAGCCCCATCTGACGTAGGAGCATGCTGTTTGATTAAGGAATGGGAAAGTGAATTGATTAGATTTTTCAAATCAAGAAGTGGCATGCCATTTTTTCTCCTGTATTTTTGGTAGGTTCTTGTGAAATCATACACGTAAATGTCTGTATTTGTAAAGGAATTTGTGTATTCCTGCTTCTTTCTTAAGTAGGTATAGAAAGCTACAGAACAACCAGGGCTGTGGAGTAAGCCTGATTTTTTTTAAAGGTGACTTTGCACTCAACATTGATTTCATGGGCAGAAGTTTTGCACATGTCCTTCCACTCTAAAAGGCACTAATGTAACTTTTAGGATACAAGGCGTTCACAAGCTGTGTTTCACAAATGTGAGAAGCTCTTTGGATTCAGATTCTTTTTATATTGTCTAATGTATAGAGTTCTGCATTCTCAACACTACCATAGACTGTGGCTAAAGGATTTCTGTCCAGGGAGATGTAGTGATTGCTTAGTGGCAGTTGGATGGTATTTGGTTGTGGCAGATCCTAAATCAAGACTCAAGGTTTTGTTTGAATTAAAAAAACAACAACAAAACCCCCCAAACTTATATGCGAGTCTGTCTTTGTTTTTGCAGCTCCATTTTGCTTGAAGCTTTATCAGGAGATTTTGCAGTCTTCTAATGGGGCTTTGCTGTGGACTTTCCTGAAACCTTTGTTACATGGGAAGATACTGTACAATGCAAACATCAACATGATTGACCTGGTGATGGAAAAGGTGAGTATCAAAAGAAACACTATTTCTGTTTATTGATTTTGTCTTTGTACTTCATTTTAAAAGTCCACTTCTTCCAGGGTAGGTAGAAGCTATTGGATAATTGCCTTTCAGAAAACTGGATCCATCCTGCCCCCTGGGTTCTCACCTTGTTCACACTTTAAACTTAATAATTCTCCTAACTTTTCTCCTACTTGTTTCAGTGGTTTCATCTCAGTGCAAAAGGCAGATTTTTTTTCTTGTATAGAAAGATTAAAGAAAGCATATTATCAGAAGTGAAATGCGAATCATGCTGTATCAAGGTGTAGGATACGTATTCCAAGTGAGCTTTTGCCCTCAACATTTTCTTATGATGCAAAATCTGTTGTGGAGCTGTGGGGAAGGGACACCCCAGAAACAAAAGCCTGCTCTGAGAGACTCACTGAGCTGGATAAAAAAACCCCCACAAACCACAACAAACCAAACAAAATCATAAACCCAAACCTAACAAAACCAAACCTCCACCACCACCAAAACCCAACAAAACCCACAACCCTTAATTTATAGTGCATCCTTCCTGACTATGCTTCTGACAGCAATGGTATGAAAATGAGCAAGTGCAGCTGAGCTGCCACGTGTGTGGATGCTGATGACTTGATATTATTCCACAGTTTTAGTGTCTCTGCGGTTCTGGTATGATAGGTGTTCTGTCTTGAGCATGATTATCTAGAATGATATGTTTGTTCATAACTAGCTTTGAGGCCCTTCTGTAAAAGAAGGAATGATGACTTATTTTAAGTACACATCAGAGTTCCGTGCAAGTTTTGCATTTATCTTGCAAATATATGATTTTTACGTGGCGATATTACCTGTTGCAAGAATGGTAATTTAGGATGATTTAAAGTCTAGAAAATAGCAGTACTGCTTGTAAGTGGTACACAAAAAGACTGTAGTAACTTGAAATGTGATGATAACTATTTTCCATGTAAATGAGATACAGTGTAATATTCTGACATGCTCTAGAAATATAGTAAAAAACCCCAACAAACAAAACCATAAGCCAATCAGCATATACTGGATAGCGGATAGTAGGTAACTTTATAGTTTCTGCTGTGAATTAAGGTTTCAGTGATTTTGTATTTTGCAGTTAAATAACTTAATTTTGACAGCAGACTATCTTTCCGGAGCTGGGTAGAATTCATTTAGAATTTTTAGTCAGCTAAAAAAGAAGCTGCTTTTGATGTTTACAGATGGAAAATCTATAAAGTGTGAGTTGTGAGAAATGATAAAAATTCCAAATTGTTTTGAATACATAACTATATTATTTATTACAGTGGCATTTAGAATAAAGCATTTTAGACTTTTCTACACTATTTTCCAGTTAATATGCTGAAACAAAATTCTTAAAAGCTAGTAAGAAAGACAAATCTCCTGACACAGGCTACCTTATATATCTTTCAGTGGAATCAAGACTGAGTAATACGGTTCAGAGTGAAGATTGCTTGTAGGGTCTTTTTTATTTTATTTTTTTTTAATGCTTTGGAACAACACAGAGGTTCTAGTAGATGCCTCTAGTACAGTCTCTCATTCTCATCATGTCTTCTCAGCCTCACAAAATTCTCATCAGCTTATTCAGAAACCTGTGTAGATACACCACTACCCATCCCTCAAGCCTGTAGATCTAACAAGCAATTATGGATGTGCATCTGTTTATGTGCAAACATGAAAGTAGTGGGAAAGTTTCTTCAGCATTTTTTTCCACTTGTTTTATTACAGAAGCCTATCAGCTATTGTTTGAATAGAAACAAAATTTAAATGTAAAATATAGTACCATGTTTCAAAGACAGCTATTAAAACCTGACCCCGTAGTCCTTACACAGACAAATGCCCTACTGAAATTGAAACAGTAATTCCAATTTCATTTAGACTGTATGACCACATGGCAATATTTACTAGAAACAAAAATTAGAGCATTAAAGCTAAAAAGAACACTGACGTTTGTATACCAAGATATATTCTGTGAGATTTTTGCATGGACTACTTTGTTTCAGGACTGTGTTAATGACCTTTTTTCGGTAAATTGAGAGATTACTGGTTTTATCTTCTGAGAAGTCAACAGTTCTAATGTGTAGAACAACAGTGGCCATCACAGATACAGGCTGTAGTGCTGACCGAGAGCAGAAAAAGTTCAGTGATAACTGACATCCAGGAGTTCAAAGACCGTGTATAATGTCATTTGTTCTAGCTTTTGCAGCTGAAGTTTTTGCCACTGATGAGCTGGTCCTATGAGAGTATTTTGTATTTCAAAAGACTGTCAGAGTTGATCTTATATTCAGCCACCGTATCAGGACAACTTGGTGCTGCTTCTTTGTAATCGGAGTAGTCAGAATATGTATATATAAAACATAAATGTAGCAAGCCAACTGACAAATGAAAGAAAGAAATTAGTCAAGCAAATTCATTAATTTGAGTTTCCTGCTTTTTTGTCTAGTATGGTTAGAAAAATTGATATTGAGCTGAGTAAGTTCATAATATCCTGTCGAGTTTTGCGTAAGCACACTTGGTCTGTCGGCCTGTTAAAAGACCTTATTATAAAAGCATTTTAATAAGCTCAAAATACCATTTTTATTTATTCTTACATCAGGAAAAGGCTTAGACATATTCAGTCCAGACATGACTGTAGCTGACGTTGAAGAATCTAATTTTAATCAAAGGCAATATCCAGCCCAGGTACAAAGTATATTTGTTTTAATGGTTCTTCATTGATTAGGAAGAAGAGATCTTGAAGAGAGTTTCTATTAAAAATCAAAGTCCAGCTGTTCATTAGCATACAAATTCTCAGCGGTTGCTTTACCATGTAAGATGAAGCACTCATTTTGCCCTAGGTTCTAATTCCTACTGTAATTGGTAAAAGCTGTATACAGAAGAACATGTCAGTAAAATTATATTCCCTTCAAATCCTGCCCCAGCTTCCAAAAACTGAAGAGTCAGGCTTGCCAGGACTCTACTCCTGTAATTTGTCTGCTTGCTTTTTGAGTTTCTGTAAATTCCTTGTAATCATAGTGCCTGTGGTGTGGTGTTCTACATCAATCACTTCATTGCTTGTTCTTCAGCTTCAAGGGAGGCAACTTCTCTTTACAAATCTTGTATTTATATCTCACAACTATAGTTATTTCTACTGTCTATTTCTGCTACTACTCGTTATTGCATTATTATTATTATTATTATTAAATTCAGAATTATTAGTCTAGTCCTCTAGTTCCCCTGACATATTTTTCATGAATAGCATTGCATTTGTTATTTTCCAGTTCCTCGATAACAAGGGAATTTTAATAGAGAGGTTACACTACAGTGAGTACTTCAACTATTTAATCCTTGAGCGCTCTTAGAATTCTTGGCTGGATGTTATCTTGCCCTGGAAACTACTTATTGTTCATTTTGTTAAATTATGTTACTTTTTGATTTTTTTTCTCTTGCTTCAATTTGAAATATTCTCTGAAGTGTTCTCCATATAGAACACTTCTGACACAGGAACTTTTTGAGGACCTACTGTAGTGAATGACAAAGCAAAAAAAAAATTAAAAAAATCTTTTTTTTCTTAGTCTTTTTTTTTCGTATTAGGATCTAACTTCAGTTTTTTAAAAGATGTTTTCTAATATCTTCCTGCTGTATAGTGTCTATGTTCATTCATATGGTCTTTCTCAAATCCTTTTTTGATAGGCAATATATAATTGTTCAGTTTCCTCTATGCTGCCTTAAATCGTCTCTGTACCTCCGCACATGATTCTACCCGTTCTAATTTCTCAACTCTTACCATGCTTTTAATTTCTTTCAAATAAGCCTTTATGGTATATAAAGTTCATCTTTTCAAAAAAATCTATGCTGCTGCAGTAATTTTGTTTTTTAATTTATATAGTTAGGTTGAATATGAACACATTATGGTTGGTGTAGCTCTTTAAAAGTGGCTTAAGCAGAAATAAAAAGGTCTTTTATGCTGTTTAGAACCAAGTCAAGAAGCACAAGCTGCTTGATGTAACAATTTCTAAAGACTTCTGGAAATTTGATCTCCATGTGTTCCAATCTGGCCTGTGTTTGCTCTGTCCTGGGGAAATAGAAATCTCCCATTCTGGCTGTTTGCTGCTCTTGAAGCCTTTTCTGATCTCCCTCAGCTTGTCACCATTGTACTTGGGTAGTGGGTTACATGATTCTGATATTCAGGCTTGGGATTTCAGCCCACGAGGTTTCTGTGTTGCCTGTTAACAGAAGAATTTATTTAGCTGATTTGTTTAACATTTAGGATCACTCTCCCTTTGAAATAGGGATCCCATAGAAGTTAAATGCATAAATTCTTTCAGGAAAATGAAATTATCTGTAAGGATCTCTTTGGGGCCTTCTGTGTTACAAACAAGAAGAAAAAACATCACAAATTTTTTTCCGATGCTGTGGGATTTTGTAAAAGGCACTTCAAATACTATGACAAAAACTGTGTACGTTAAATAGGAATTATTGAAAAAAAATGTAGTCCCAAATTGGAGTTTACAACTCGTCACAGACACTCTTTGCTGGGAAATGTCACGATTTCTGCAGTAATAACAACGTTGGATTGTTCTTAAGTGCACTTTTGTGGCTGATAACACCAATTTAAACAAAAAGATATTGCAGTATTTTCTAATCTTAAGTACACTTGTGATCTGTTTAAAACAGACTAGGACAAAAAGGATGGTTGTTTGCTAGTGGCTAAGAGAGAAATTGTAGCTTATGTCTGACTGTGCCAGAGAATATTTTGCTACACTCGATTCTTCCTCTGCAAGAGCGTTTTGAAATAGATTGACTGGTCAGTTGAATTTATTGTGCAGACCATGCTTCCAACTTTCACTTTTGTTATATACTCAAAGTAGTTTGAATAAAAGACCCACAAGGTCTGCAAGAGCTTTCTTTTGAATATCTCCTAACTGTGTTTTTTCCTGTCTTTCTAAAGCACCTCTGTGATACTCTGTATGAAAGAGATGTTATAAAATAAAGATATCTTTATGATACTTCAGGTAGGAAACATATGCACTACAGGAAGACTTTCATTTCCTGGGTATTCAGAGACTGCAACAAATACTTTTTTTTTTCCTTAAGTAGAAAAAAGAAAATATGGATATATTTACTGCTAACTATCAAAGTGAAATGGAGAGGAATTACATGCCAGTTTGCTTGAAAGGAAAAGCATGCCAGTTTTTCCTGTTCGAGATTTGATACCGTTTTTACTTCATTTTCCTCCATCTATTCTTTTTCCCAGGCTAATTTCACCTTTGAGTTTGTGGAAAACTTGAAGATATATTCTGAGACATGGCTTAGGATGTCTGAGGTTTTTAAAACCAGTGGAAATGTCCTCACAGTTTCAAGACTGCAGGTTGGTAAACTGTGGGAGGGATTCCTATTTTCCAATTATTTGCTATGTGATTTAGACAGAATTTCTATACACGTAGAACTGCACATCTGCCTGGCTTCAGGTTTAAAAAGAACTGAAAAAGAGGCAGATTAACATTAGGTTATAAGCCTACAGTGTGATACTGACAAACTTCTGAGGTGAAAATGCCTAAAGCAATGTTACACTTTGGGAAAATAAGCAGAATCCTGTCATGGACTGTACATATCAACTGAACTATTATTTTGAAGTTTAATTGAGGAGTGATGCCAGTAATCATGCATTAGATTTGCAGATCTCAGGATGCTAATATTTTTTCCCCATTAGGACTTGGCAGGTGAGGTATAGGAGTTAAATAATGTATAAGGAATTCCCAAATGCCAGTTTTTAAAAGATATTTATTTTAGTACTGCCAGTGCTAGTAATATAATGGCCCAAAATTCTTGTAGGAAAAGACAATGGGTTTCTGTCCCAGCAGACTTGCAAGGACGTTAGAATGAACTCGAAGTTAAAACATTTGCAGTAAAGGATGACAGTGATGCACAGCAATGGGGAGTACATGTTCCTCTGCTTATTTAAAATGTGTGAAGTGAATGTGTTAAGAGGGAGAGGCTGAAGACATGAAGTGACTTCTCCAGTGTTATCTTGGTAATGGAATTGAACATTAATGTATATGTATATTTTATATTTCTTTAGAGAAGATATACCTGATGTAACATATAATGTTTTTCACTTTAGGAAGCACTGCAAAGCAATTTCATAAAGCACTTTATAGAAAGTAATTTGGATATCAACATGGAAAATCTCTTTAAAAAGATGCAAGCTTATGGTACGTACACAAATGTATAGGTACTGATTACCCTCATTAGACTCGAACTTGAACTTAGAGCTATGTTCAGTTGAAATTGAATGTTTCACCTTTCTAAATTATAGTAAAACGCCAGACTAAATTCCCCCGTTGTGTTAATCTCATATATTTCTAATTGTCTTTTTTTCTGCTGACTGACTGGGTAATTTGTATTTCAAAATATTGAAAGACTTGCAAAATCTGATAAATTAGAAGTGGCAAAGTGTCATGGAAGAATTAAAAACTTAGGACCTATACTTAAAAGGTAGCAACAGTTCAATTAGATAGTAGTAAATTTTGAAGGAAATCTATATATTTTAAACAGAGATAAATAGAAATGAGATTGGATACAGTGTTAATCAAAAGCTGTCTAATTTTTTTCTTCTTTTATTGAGAAATAATTACATGTAGTCTCCTTGAGCCTCAGAAAAGCCTGAGATTAAGTTATAATCAGGGATGAGTGGGGTTGGACTCAGGTCAGTGAAGAGTAACCAGGGTCAGACTGAGCCCTGCCATGGCCAAGAAGGGCGGTGGGGTTGATGATGAGGGCAAGGCAGGACAGGACACCACCCCACAGGCAGGGGTCTAGGCCCAGATAGGCAGATCCATAGCCAGATCCACAGCCAAGCTGAGATATGGTGGGAGCTGCGGTCTAGAGCTAAAATAAACAAATAAATGTACCCAAAGTGCAACCTCTATTTTATTTTAGAATCTGCTATCTGCCTCCAATCAGGAGATGCACAAAATGCACCGAAGCTTCCTAGAGCTTGTAAATAAGTATGTTCTCAGTCTTAAATTGTACTACTGCCCTGAGCTGGTGCTGTCATTCTGGGTGTGAGTTGAAGCTCTCGGCTTTTGTTTTATATACAGGATGAGAGATTTAATTGAAAGTGTTGTTGACTTGAAGGCTGTATTTGAAGGCTAGGACCAGCTGTGCACCTTTTCACTAAGAAAAATGTCAAATGTTGTCTGGAATTCAATTCAGAAAGTGGAAATCGGGGCTCAGTATCCTCCTTAGGTGAGGGAATCCAACTTGAATCTGCTATCTCTCAGGAAAAGTTTTTTGACCACTGAACAGTTGCCTCATCTGGGTCAGGCAGAGCTTAACCCTCATGGTGAAGCTGGATCATGGTGCAACAACAAAAAAAGAACACCACAGAACCACACAAAAAGATGGAAAGGAAGAAATAGCAAGTCTTTTAATCTGCAACGCCTGCTAGAAACATAGCTATCTTATTATGTTAGCTGAGTAATGGATTTTGTTTGTTTGGACCTAACACTGAGAATCATGTGATACTTATGGATAAACAATATTTCATTGATATCAAGGTCTCTGGAGCTGTGAGGTCCATGTTCACTGCTACAGGCAGCATTGTCAGAAATCTGTGCACGTGTTTCTCAAGCTATTGATTTTAAAAGAGCTAAGGACATTTGACAATATGTAATAAATGGTTAATAGTCTTGGATTATGATTATAGAAATCATTTAAGTAGAATGGCCTGTGAAACTAGAACTTATTTTATTGGAATACAGTTAGTAAAATTAATATCATATAAAAAGTGAAAATCAATATGGGCTATAGATGACAATAGTATTTATGCCTTTGTGAAGCTGATCTGTTCAAAGGGCCAGAGCACTCTTCTGCATTTACACTTTGAGTACAATTCTTTTTACAGATTCACTTTGTCGTTTTGCTTTTTGAAAAATTACTATCCCTTCTGTTGCTTTTGTTTAAGCTTTTTTGTTCGTCTTATTATTATATAATCATCTGCAGCTGTTACTGTAAACCTCTGTTCTTAGAGGGTTTTTAAAATTTCATTGCTTACACTAGATCAGCTTTTCAATCCTGTAATTATCTTGCTTAGATCCAATTTAAAGGCTTAAATGTATCCATATACGTTATTGGTTTTGTCACTCATAATCTGTTTATTTCCATCCAAAGCTCAAGTTTTCTAAAATCACCTAATCTTTGTGATTATTTATTTTGTTTTCTAACTAAAGCAAGTATTCCCTTGGGTTTTTTTACATCAAAACTCGCATTAAGCTGACTTCTAATTATATTGAAATCCAAGGTGCTTGTGTTTGTACAGTTTCTTTTTGCTTCTCTACAGTGCTTTAAAAATTGTTAACAACCTTAGTGACGTTATTTGCCCTGCTCACTTCTGCTCGGAAGTGTCATGAACACAGAGTGGATTGATGGAGAAATCTTCCAACCTCTCTATAAAACTATCATGCTATAAGACCATACAAAGTTAGAAGTTTTTGAAAACTGTTTTACATGGTTACTGATCAGTTTTACTCACCTGGAATGAAGCAAATACTTAACTGAGGCCAGCAAAATTTGTGATTGTTTTTTCAAACCCTTCTTTTTAAATTAGCTTTTTAAAATTAGTGTAGGCAAGGCAACTGTATTCCTCTCTGCTTGCTTTCCAACCCAGTAATTTGCAATAATAATTTCCTGGGTGTAACTGATTTTATATTAACCCCATCCCACTAGATCTTGTGCGCTCCTTGCTGGGCATAGCCCTTACAAGCCTCTCAAGAGGCAATAAGAGGCCATTGTGCTGCAGGCTCTTCTTTTAGATTCTTGCTCGCTTGGACCCTCTTTCTTGCCCTTCTTCTGTGATTTCTCCCAGATGTGAAGTGTTTTTTCACTACCAAGGAATCTCACTTACTGAGGTAAAAAAAATCCAAACAAAACACAAAACAAAACTGCCAACTTTCCTCCCTCTGCTGTCCTCATTGTAATGAAATAGTTTTGCGTGTCTATAGAAAGCTCAAAACAAATAGCTCTACCATCACCACTGAAAACTGTGCGGCCACCAAAATCACCTGATAACTAGAAATGTTCTCCTAATTTCTGACCTAAATTAATTAATTACGGGTTTATTCCAATTTATTCTTCTTGCAAACTTTTACTTAAATAGCACTTACGGAGTTAATTTACATAAACCAATTACGACTCCTCCCAATTACTTAATGATATGTTAAACAAGCCAAGTAGAGGATGAAGGTTGCATTGGTATGTAACAAAGTATGAAGATAATAGTGAAAAAATATTTGCCAAGTATTTTTTATTCATAATTGGTACATTTATAAATAGGAAAAATACAAGATAGGCAGCTCTATAGATCTTTATTCTAAAACTTTCCTCTGGATTGTATCTGTTCATGTATACGTGCTATTTCTGTGCTAGAGTACAGTTAATGTGTATTTGTGAAAGACAGTATTTTGCTTCCAGAAATATTTGTATATGCCATACTCTAAGGAAGGAGCAAGATAATCAGTATCTCTTATGCTAAAATATTCAATAGTTTAATTTGCAAGAGAGAAGGTTTTTGTTAACTATTGATTTCAAATTAAAGCCTTTCAAAGATTGACTGGTAAAGAGATCTCTTGACTTTTTTTTTATGTGTGTGTGTGTATATAAATAATTGTACACACATATAAAATATATGTGAAAACACTGCTGCTTGGGCTTAATGTTAGGAATAATCTATTCTTTCTATTGCCACAAAAATGTAACAGCATAGGTATCTCCTTTGTTGTCATCCTCAAGGATAGCAGTAAATAAGACATATAGTATCTATATCTGACACTGTTTTCTCTCAACCCATGAATTCAACCTATCACTGCTTACCTATCTTCTGAGTTCTAAATTACCAGTTCTTCTACTTTTTCTCCTGGTGATCTTTATCCTTTCTCACTGGTAATCATGTTGCTTCTCCAGACTACGTACACTTTTCCATTATCTATCTCCCTATAGCAATATTTCCTGTGCTGACACTGAATAACGTCTATGATCCAGGGTTTGTCTGTCACCACTGCTATCAAATGAGGTCATCACCTACCCTTTTTAAAGCCTATACCTTCAAGGGAGTCTTGAAAAATTTAAGACAGGAACTTGTACTGCATGTTTTAAAACATTGTTTATTACCTGAGAAATTCAGATATTTCCATTAAATCCAGAGGAGTTAAGATTGTTTCTAGATCATACTATCCTGATTATTCTCTCAAACATAGGAATATCACTCTACATCTACTTTCTCTAATAATGGATAAAGATCTGAATTCCTCTAAAGCTTCAGTGTTTTTGGAAAACAACCTTTGTTTGAGGTATACGTTCATCCTGGATCCATAGATAAAATCAAAGTCAAAATGGAGGGCATGTAAGCATTTTTCAGATGCTTTTAAACGTAGGACTCGAGTCAAGATGCTTATGCCCTATATAAAAAGATGCTTGAAATATTTGTAGTGTCAAGGAGAGAACAACTGGCAAATACATTACTAGATGAAAGAGATGGTTCTCTGTTGTGGTGTTTGAAGTACAGTACCTCGCATTTGTGAGAATAGTTACAGAAAGATAAGGAAATGTTAGAAGTCCTACAGCTTTAAGGACATGGTGTCTTCCTAGAACTTTACTAGAATTTTACATTTTTGTTGCTCTGAAATTGAAGGACTATGTAACTGAGGACTTGTAAAAGCCAGGGAAACATGTTCAAACTGAATTAACTTCTTCTGATTTAAAATATAGAGATTTTAAATACACTTCTAGGATGTGTGAGAACATACTTTTCTGTTCATTAAAGCTAAGGAAGTCCGATTTGTTTCCTCATTTTAGAAACTATGATGAACAAGATGCTCAACAGCTCAGCAAGTAAGCAGATTGAACTGTTGTCACAGCTTGTGGTAAATATATCTTCCTGTGTGTTGCTGGACCGTTTCCAGCCTTTTGACTCTATTGAGGAGTTGGAGGAGAAGACTCATGAACTCATGCAGCAAAATAATTTTTTGGCTAGTAAGTACCTTTTTGTAAAATGCATAGTGACAGAAAACATCAGACTTTGTAGCTGTTGTCTAGGTTAAGGCTGTACAGTTTCAAAGTACATATTAAAATGCATATAATACAGGCATAATAAAGCATATCTACCTTACAAGTATTCCCTAAAATTTTAATGTTGTAATATAAACTGTGAAGCCTAATTACATTATTGTTTTAATTGTGGAACTGTCAAATGAATCCTTGGAGTCTGTTATTTGTAACAAAATATTGAAAAGAATAGTCACAAACGTTCAAAGTAAAAAAAAAAAAAAAAGAGCTGAAAAAAGTTAAGTACTGAGGAAACTCGACTACTTATGGCAACGTCATCTACAGACTTTTAAAATTTCCATATTCTTAGCTTTGCAAAAAGGAGGAAAGAAAAGGGTTTTTTTTCTTGGTAAGTTTTATTCTTAAACCAATATCTCAGAGAAATTAACTTGTTTATTCAGAGTAAATGAATTCTTAAGCCATGGGTATATTTCTTTTCTTCCCTAGGATTACACTCTGTATCCTTTTCCTCTGTTATGTCCTTATTGATGAGAATGAATTAATTTGTACAAAAGAGTTTAAAAGACCAGAATGTTTTTCTTATTACACATACTTTCTCTTCTCACATAAAATACTTTGTTGCATGTAGCCTTTCCAGAAGGGAAGACCCTTCATGGGAAGAAACAGACAGAGAGATCCTGAATTGTCAAGTTTAAGAACCATTTTGCTTCCACTTTCACAGTGAAGTGTCATATGCTAACATAAGCCAAGTTATTTCTTGGAAATTTTTCAGTGGTGTGGTTTTATAATCTCTGGATGTGCTTAAGGAGGGAAGATGGCCTTTTAAGGGACCTAATGTCTCCACCATGTCAATATTACATGCTCAGATACAAGCATACATTCCTTTCCATAGTAAGATATGAAAGTAAAGTGGAATTTTCCTTGCTTGCTTTGTTTGTAGGCTTCAAAGACTCATAAAATGTCTTGGGAAACTAAATGTTTGCATAAATGGGAAAATAAGATTGGCCAGTTAAAAAAATAGGCTTTACAGTAGAGTGAAGTATTCTATATCATACTATCCTTCAGAGACCCAGGTAGTAGGTAATGTGTCTCTCTCCTTTCCAGGGCAAAAAGGTCAATATTTCATGTTTATCAAGAAGTCCTGAAAAATCTGGGTCATCCAGAAAGAAAATACAGCCAATTTGCTATATTTGACAATCTTTCCAGCTTGAGATGAAACTTTCTTCTGCTTTTAAAAATATTTATATATATTTAGAAAT